AAAGGTAGGTTTTGCATGCTTGAATGGAGCTGAAAAAAAGTTGGATGAACTTTTCCAATGCTGGAAAAAGTCCATCGGCAATTGCAAATTGCGCTGCTACGGTGCATATGGCAGAGTAACACTTGGCAGACCATTTAAAGGGTAAGCATTTTTCTTCACTCAGATATAAGAGGGTTAATACCAAAGGATGTTTAAGATTAAAACACTAACAGATGTTTAAACAACTTAGGATTTTTGGGGGCTTAAGTTTATGAGCATGTCCTTAGGTACCACTGCTGGCATGAACAACTTCTTTCCTTCCCACTTTTCATATCTGCTCCCCAAACACTTGACTCATGTGAGTATCACTGCTTCTGTGGCTGTGCTGTAAGTCTGTGCCAGGTCACACATCTGGACAAAAAAAGAGCTTTTCCTTCCCTTTGGCTCCTCAGACAGATGATAGGAACAAGAAGCAGGGGAAAAGATTTCCTCACATCTGCACAGCTACCAACAGAAATGCTTACGAAATGATGTGCTCAGGAAAAGTTAGTACTCAAATGCTTTTGAGCATCTGGTCCTCTGAAATTCATCTGTCTCTGTCTAATTCGAAAATATTAGCTTTTCGCTCTTATCATGATACATTAATGACTACAATAATATGCTGGGGTAGCATGTCATTGCAGGTCACAGGACTAAAGAAGTAGCTTTTTTGAGAGTTTGGAAGTACAACATGACTTAGAATCTCAGTACAAGGACATAAGGAGTGAAGGCAGAGAAACATGAAGATAGAAATAAGAGGCAAATCAGAGAAAAGAGAAAAGAAGTCAGTTATCCATACTCTGAAATAGCAAATATTCCAGCGAAAGACTGTGGAGGCACAAGAGAGGAGGACGGTAACACTGGAAAGTGTGAGCAGTAAGTACAAAGAACAGGTTAAACAGTTAGAAGCAAAGAGTGAAGAGTGCATTAAGAGGCAGAGGTTAGGCTACCAGGCAGTATAGAAAAAAAAAGAAGAAAAATAAAATTAAATACAACTTTGTAGGGTAAAAGCTGCTTGATGCACACAGAAAAGTGTTAAGCCAGTGAGAAGGTGGAAGCTAGTTTACTTAGCAATGTCAGTGCTCAGCTCCTACAGTGATCTAAAGGAAGATCTCTCAGGCAAGAAGAGGGGTGACCAGCTCCTGTCTTGTTGCTTTGCAAAGATGGTGCTGGAGATGGTGCTACTTTTGCTGGGGAAGGCTACAACGGGACGAAGGAAGCAAAAAGATGATGCAACTGTGCTGGAGAAATTCTAGAGCAAGCTGTGTGCAAAGATCAGTAGTTGGAGCTGCTGGCAGCATCTCCTCCCATCCTCAGTTGACCCCAACCTACATGGAAATCTTCTGGAGATAGAAGACATCAGGGCTGGAAATATGCCATGGCACAAGACGGTTAGAAAAAAGGGTAAAAGGCCATTTCACAATTATGTCAACATATATTAGCTCTTGAGCCTGACAGTTACAAGTATTAATAAAGTTGCCATTTTAGATTTATTTCACTAGCTTTTTTCCCATGTTTATTAAACCAAGGATCTGGTTGCAAGAAAAGGAAAATTATGAAGCTTTCTGCACCAAATGCCTGCACAAGCCATTCTGTTGTAGCAATGACCTGAGGCAGCTGTAGTTGCAGAAAGATGAGATCAGTCAAGTAACATATTGGCACTGTTTAAGTAGTCAGACAACCTAAACCGAAATCACCCTGATGTCCTTCCTGAGAGAATAAAACAATCCTCTCCCCAAAAGCAAGCATATAGATATAAAAAATACACCAAAAAAATCCCTAAGATATACCATGAGAATAAAAGTTAACGTTCTTCCGGTGTGCTTTTGCATCATACCCAGGGAACATCTGAAAAACTCATTTGATCTTGTGCTCAGTACAGTCTCTTCTGAGAAACACTTTGGGTGGGCAAAGATCAAGGTTTTTCACTAATAATCAGTGTGGATAATTTTTGTTGGTGGGAGCCAAGAGCTTTCACAACATCATGGCAAGCATGTGGCACCTTGTGAGATTGTTCCAGAGCACAGCAGCCAGCCTTGCAAAGGACAGCCTCAGACTTCTTCAGTGCTTCAGAGTATATGATGTTATAGGGGCCATGGCCTTACTCTTGCTTGTTAGATAGATCTATGTCTTAGTGAGCATTAAAAAAATTCAAGCTTGGTTTTCTACTCCCTAATTAAATGCAAATTAAAAATGAAAAAGAGCACCACTTTAAGCACATTAGCATGAATCACAGGTAATTAGTTTACAAAGCTGAAGACAATAGTTTGCTACAGGCTATGTAGATTCTTATGAAAGAAAAACACAATGATGCTTGAGGAATTTTCAGAATCCAGCAAAGGCATTGTGAGTCTATAAGATGTTTCTCACCACGTTTTACTCTCAAGTGGTACATCCCAAGATGGTACTACCATCCAGCAGACTAAAAAATCACAAATCAAGAGCCACATTTCATAAAACGCTTCATGGAACTGTACTGATTTACATTACTGATTTACTTACTGCACTGTTAATCTAATTGTCTTATTGATTTTTAAATACACTGAGGAATCATAACAAGACCTTTTAAGTTAACCTAGTATAAAAAATGAGTACCAAATACCACATTGCTGTGCAGGCCTCAGTGCTGTTTGCTTTTTCAAGAAATATGATGCATAGACACATAGAAGTGCATGATGCCATCATTAAAGCATTGACATTTACAACAGGAACATTACTGGTATTACGGGTCACAGGACTAATACTACACAGGTAATGTTCACTACCTGCAAACACTGAATGGCAACATTTTAAGGTTAAGATAAACAAAAAGAATATTAAACAGGTACCTACCTAGGTTCTGTATCCACAACAACAGCAGTTATACTACCACACAAATGCTCAAAAGTCAGAGTATTCTCTTCTTAAGCAAAGCAGTGCTGGTACTTGGTAGAAGAATCATTAACTTCTAACACAAACTATGGTTTAGGCAGTTTTAATCTTGTCTCCTCCCAGTTCTGCTCTCTGATAAAGGTCCCAAAATACATGTTTATCCACAGTAGTAAAAAATTAATTAGGTAGAAAATGTGCAAGTGTGTTCCTTTTTCACACTCTTGTGAAATACATTTTTTCCTGAGCTTGTCATGCTTATAATAGTTCATACCCTCCTGGCATTTAAAAATGGGGTGTCCCAACTTTAGAAGTGTTCTTGGTTATGGATAGCTAAGATGTATTTTGGTGTGAAGTTTTATTTTCATAGTCTATGGATGAAGTCCATTCAGCTAAGACCTGCTAGAGCCAGCTAAGGACTTGCAGGAAGAGAAAATATAATGCCTTGGCTATTTTGAACAAACTGGGTGTTCAAGAAACAATCATGCTTAGAAGTCTGTTAAGATTTCTAGTTCAGTGCTATTAATAGCACAGGCAAACTCAATGTGAAAGTATATTGGGACTATGTGTACTTTAGAGCAGCCCTTTACCTACTTACTTACAGGTCTAGTTCAGGGAAACCTGAGTGGGTTTCCTGAGAAGTATTTTATTTGTTTGTGCTTTTGTTGTGCACTATGCATGACTCCAGAGACTAATTGTGGTTAAAAAAAGAAGTAATTTTTAAAACATGGATAGCCGCACGCAAAGAGTTGTGGTCAACGTTTC